AGGTATCTATCGAGCGTGGGTTGTCTTGTTATTTCTTTCCTACTTGTTGTGTTGCAGGCCCTTTCTTTGATTAATTTTGCGGCAAAGCAAGGAACAACCTCTGGAAATACTGCTTCTATTATCACTATTATTTTCACCACACTTCATGTTTCTGTTCAAGCCCATGGTATGAAAATAGTGGGCTCCTGAGTAGCAATAGTATAAAATGCTGGCTTAAGTTGCTTAATTTGTATGTGTAATGTTTGATTTACTTTTTCCAGTTTTGAAATATAACCATCTTTTTTTCTGAAGGTTGCTTCAACTGAGGTTTTATTTAATCCATCCAGAGTTTTTGTGTACAATCCTGGAATGGCCTTATTTGTGGAGCTTTCAACCCTGAGATCAAGGAGTCAGTTGTTGTTGCTAAATTCTAAAAAAAGTTTTAATCATTATTTTTTCTTGGTCTCCACTTTTATTTCATTTTGGAATGTTCTAAAACATGTCTAAAGATTTGCTCATGCTGCACTGGTTGTGAGTATTACCCTTGTGTCCATAGATGTGAGACACCAGGGAACTAACCTGGGATTTTTGCATAGAACCCAAAATTCAGGATAGTCCCACATTGAACCTAGTATATTTGGAAATTATGCAAGTTCTGAATTCATTTCTGCAAGTCTACATCTTTATCCCATCTGCAACAATTTTGTAAAAACATTTGAGTATAACAAAGGGGCTGTAATGTAAGCAAAGTAAGGAACATTTATATTAATGGTAAAGTGTTCCTACAATGTCATCTTTCAGGTAGAGCAGCTTGGAGCCCTCATATATAAATCACTTTCGCTATTTCCTTTTCCTAAACTGTGTCAAAAGTGAGAGGTTAATGATACCAACTCTGACATTATGGCAACCCAGTGTCACACTAAGTAAAGTTAGTCTGATTTGGTCCCCTTACACAATTCACAGGCCTTTGACTGAGTGGAATTACCATTCTTTTTATCAAGTCAGATTGATTTAATTCCCACTGTTAAAGACTTATTGGAAGTTGAACACTATTATTTTAAATATGAAATCTGAAGCTTATATTTTACATTGAAAATACAACAGCTAAAAGTTGCTGATAAATGTGTTTCTTGATTATTTTCCCACTATCATTATATTAATTTAGTAGAAATTCTACACCCCGTCCTTGCCTCTACCTCACCATGTCGCTGCCCAGTTGCTATTAACATGCCTCCACCAGTGTGCATTGGGTGGGGGCTTCAAATTAAAGAACGGGGATGGACAGTCCCCCCTTGAGCCTCCACATTAAACAAGTAGGGAAGACATCTTAGTGTCCTCCAGACCCCATTGTAGGGGCAATTCATTAAATAATAAGCAGTGGGTAATTCATATCCCCTCCTACCCCTACCTGTGGTGGCTATAATTATAATAAATGGGGGCAAGCGGTATACCGCAACAAACCTTTGCGCTATAAAATTTTTTTATATTCTTTATTTTTGCAGTGCTTAGATTGACATACAAACTGACAAGGACATTTTGATATGAGTATAATACAGTAAGCTTGGGAACAAGATCATCAGAAAATGTCTGATATAAAGCACTTTTTATATAGTTAAGACAGAGTAATCTACTGTAAGTCAGTGCAGAACAGAGTGGGCTAAAGAATTCCAAGGCTTGGCAAGTGAGCACACAAGAAAAAAAAAAAAATGAGAAGAAAACCGCTAGGAGCATTCAACCTGGCTCAGGTTAATTGCAGGGACAGATAGAGTATGTGGAGGTGTTTGACAAAGAAAGGGTGATGCACGGGAAACATCTGAGTTATAAAGGCAGAAAACTTATAACAGTAAATCTCTGACACACGTAATGTCAGAGCAGCTGTCCACTTATCCTATGCCCTTTGCGTACAAGCAGAATCCATGCTGGTATGAAGGGTTACTTGTGCCGCCTCGATCTCTGTATAGTGTTGCAGCTTTCCAGCTCCCATGGCGGCTTGTTGCTTTCCTCACACCAAGGCAGAGTCCTGGAAAGCATCGGTTCTCCTGGATAGGTGGCCCACTCACGGCCCACTGCTTCAGCTCAAATCCCCACCTTGGATGGAGTCTCCGAGCCACAGCCTTGCGACCAGGTCACACCTCTGGAGTAGCTGCCTGAATCTGTAGTGGGACAGGTGAGGTAAAAGTGTGAGTGCGGTGGGTTAGTCGGTCCCAGAACTCAGAGCACAGCCGATCGAACTCAGCCTCAAAGCGCTCCACCCAGTTCAGGCTCTCTGGGCCTGCTTGATGTGGTGGTTGCTTCAACGATGTGGCCATCTTGGATTCACCACATGATCACATCAACAGCATATTTTAGGTTTCCTGCAGCAGGAAAGTAAGAGCTCTTCGCGCGGCCAGGATATCCCCCACTGGCCCAGAAGGGGGAGAATTGGGCACGGGGCTTTGCTTATCCACAGGAGTGCCTGGGTAGACCCCAATGGAGAGATTGGCTGTGGGAACACACCAGGCCTCGACTGCGCAATCCAAGGAGTGGTGAGGTTCAAGACCAACGCCCAGCATGGCTCAAGTTTGCCAGACCTTGGCATCAGATCCTGAGCAGTATATGGTAGGGAATTTGTGCCCCTTATATCACCAGTTATACAGATTTAGTCGAGAGCTTGTGCCTAGTGCGACCAGCTAGAATGGCGGTCAAGCATTATTGTGTGCTAGGATTGTGTGCTAGGATTGAGCTGTCCCCAACAATGCACTATTAGTTGAGTTGGATATATTTACCTTAACAGTTAGACACATGCATTCATATTCTTAAGAATGGCTACATTACATTTAGTAAAAAAAACAAATACAAACCATTATTGATTGTTTTGTATTCTTTTCTGACTAAATAATAATAATATTAATAATAATATGAATGCGCATGTCGAATTATTAAGTAAAAATGTTCCAACTCAATTAATGGAACATTGTTGGGGACAGCTCAGACACAAGTAAAATGGCTACTAGCTAAACTAAAAATGTCAGAATGACCAAATGACTCACATTAACATTTATTTGGTCATTGTAAAACTTTTATCCTCCCCCTCCCTCCTTTCATACCCCAGTGCTTGATGTAATTAAAAAAGAAAATAGCAACGTGGCAGCCATTGCCCAGTTGCTAGCAACATATACCCACTCCCAACTGTGGGCATTGGGTGGGAGCTTCAATTTAAAGAATGGGGGGTGCACAGATCAAATATCTCCCCTGTGCCCCCACAGTGCAGCTAATATATTAAATAAAATGAAGTGTGGAGAGGGACATGTTGCCAGAGGGCTGTACAGATTAACGGTTAGCCGACATGCACTAAATAAATGAAATTTTCACCGATTTTCACCCGAAGTCTATAGATAGGTGAACCAATGTTGGAAGAACTGAAAAGAAAAAAAAATACCAAAAGAATGACCAAAAAGATCTGAAAATTCTTGCCTTGCACATTTTCATTACTAATTCCCCGTTCAATCGTTATTTATGTATTTATTTGTTTATTTAAAATCCTGGTGTAACCATTTTTTGTACTCTGAGAATTATTTGTTTATTTTTGTGGGAACATTTTTCCATATCAGTCATCGAGAAGAGGAGTTAGCAGGTTAACACTTATATAGCTTTTATAGAGAAAGTCTATATCACAGTTAAACATTTTCAAAAAAGAAGCATTTTCTTGCCTAACTCTTCTCCCTCACTGGACAGAATTTGAACATTAAACTTTTAGTGAGTAATTTATTGCTCTTTAGACATGTGGTAATCCTGAGTTTTCCCTTGGAACATTCCAAACCTGTCTATGGAATAACAACAAAATATTGGAAGAGAATAGTAACCTCTTTCTCTACAGCTGGAGATTCTAATGTTGGTAGCTTTTTGTAGGACTAACAATACACAGCAATATTTTCCTGTTCAATGAGTCTTTCTATTGGACTTCCAGGTGAACAAATATACCGCCATGTCTCAGTATGCCATCCTAATGTCTAGACAATAATTCAATCTTTATCTAGTTTTTATTTTTTAGATTTATGTATTTTAAAATGGAAATGAAAACCAAATGCTTAGATTTAAAAAAAATAAGTAAAAAATAAAAAAATAGAATTTTAGGTTTATATGTTTATTGTTATTAGTTACTTGTTATTTAATAAACTAGTTAATAATAAAATTGCAGTTAATTAAAAACATGATGCCATAAAAATATTTGGATTTCTGCAAATTATTCATGTACCTATGTGTTGAAAGATTATTATAACAAACAGAACTAAACAATAGAGGGGTGCATATAAGAAAATAAAACATGATAATAGTGGCATACAATAACACTTTAACCACCACGTGTATCTCTCTCTCTCTCTCTCTCTCTCTCTCTCTCTCTCTCTATCTCTCTCTCTCTCTATCTATCTCTCATTGACAGGGATTATTCCAATAGTTATAGACATGGTTTTCCTAGCCCTAAGAATTATATGCAGCACTCCTAGGTATATAGAAATATACAGTATTCACCCCCAAAACAGCAATGAAAAGCAATGTCCTAGACCAGGCATAGGCAACCTTCAGCACTCCAGAAGTTGTAGACTACATCGTCTACAGCAGTGGTTCCCAAACTTTTTAGAGTCAAGGCACCCTTAATATTTCAACTTTTTTTCCAAGGCGCCCCAAGTCAAAATTTCTAGTTTGTATATCTATACAGCGCTGCGGAATTTACTGATGCTATAGTGTAATGTACAGTGTTGGTGTTTGAAGAGGTACTTGTATATTGTTTTAGTGTTTTAATATATGGAGTGCGCTTGTATGTAATGTTTGTGTTCTATCGATCTATCTATCCACAAAATGAAAACCACTGACAGGTGAAGTGAATATTATTGATTACAATGGCACCTATCAGCGGATGGGATATATTAGGCAGCAAGCGAACAGTCAGTTCTTGAGTTTCATGTGTTGGAAGTAGCATCTGAGTGGCTTTGACAAGGGCCAAACAGTGATGGCTAGATGACTGCATCTGTTCTACAATAAAGGCTGATTTTAAAGCTGTTGCGGATAATATGGACAAAGAACTATACGATCTGGGAATCCAAACAGGAGCCCTGGAAGAACGTATAGATGAGCTATTTGCAGCAAAGAATGACATGGTGGATAAGATCCAAAATATGGCGTCAGATTACAAGCGCTTACAGGAGAAGGTGGCAGATTTGGAGGACCGATCCCATAATAACATCCGCGTGTGTGGGGTCCAAGAACCAATACAAACCAACTAACTGTTTAGTTTCCTGAAGGGTCTGTTTAAAGCGGTGGTGCCGACATTAAAAAATAAAGATCTATGCATTGACAGGGCAACAGAATTTGGCAACGGACATTCCGAGGGACATAGTCACTCAGCTACATTACTATACTACAAAAGAAGCTGTGTTAGCAGCCCAACGCATGACAAAGTTAACAGAAGAATATTCATAGCTGACTCTGTTTTCTGATTTATCAGCTTCTACAATGGCACGACAGAGAGAAATTGCCAATATTACTAAATGCCTACTTATGAATAAAGTGGCTTACAGATGGGGATTCTCTCCAAAAGTGCTCAAATGGTGGAATGGATCCATAAACAAGATGAATAACCCAGAGGAGGGCCACAAGCTTCTGCGTTCTTGGCTACTTTTGGAAGAAGAGATAGACAACCCTTAATCGGTGACGACAAGGAAGGTGCCTGCAGAGTGGACAAAGGTACATAAACCCAAGTAAAGGATACCTACAATGAAGGACTTAAGTTGTGGTCCACCCTAACATCATATGAGTCGTAAAACATATAAGTGACCTGTGACTTTAAGGGAGATTTGGTGCAATAAACTAGTCAGGAAATTATTGGCATTAAATTTTTCATTATTATTAAGTCAAGGGGGGAAAAAGGGGGTGGGGAGGAAAAGGAGGGAAAAAGGAAGGGAATGGAAAAAAAAAAGCTTTTTAAAACTTCCCCTTTAACCCCTTAAGGACACATGACATGTGTGACATGGCATGATTCCCTTTTATTCCAGAAGTTTGGTCCTTAAGGGGTTAAAGAATCCCATACCTTGAGGGAGAAAAAAATAATAAATTAATTTAAAAAAGCTATGCTTCCCCTTTAAAGTATTCCAAAACTTGAGGAGGAAAAAAAAGGGAAAGCTATATAGCTCTTAAACGTCTAATGGCCTCAGATATTATCTCACAAGTCAACACTCTTTCCCTCTCTCAATCCACAGGTTGGCCTCAGACTTGAAAATGGCTTACAGACACAGATTAATAAAAGGATTGGTCTACCTGCAAAGATTGCTGGGAAGCATCTATGATTTTTGTTATTGTTATTTTTGTTATTGTTTTTGTTTTTTGTTTTTTATTTTTTGTTATCTTTATTATTATTTTTTAAAGGAAGGGCATATGTTTTGGAAGAAATGGGCTACACAAGTACAGTGGGGTTAGTGGAGATGCGGGGGGAAGGAGATGGGGAGTGTGGAACAATCAATCAGAATTGTATTGAAAATAAGGATTGCATATTGTTCTGCTTTTATGGCTTAGGAGTTTACATTACTATCTTTTAATGTAAACGGACTTAATATGCCACAAAAAAAGGTTATTGTTCCAACATCTTCGGAAAGAGGGGGTGGCAGTTGTCTGTTTACAGGAGACACATTTTTGTGCACACGGACCACAAGTTTTTGGTTTGTTTAGGTAACCTGCAGTATATCATACCTTTGTTTCAAACAAAAACAAAAGGCATTAGCATATTATTTCATGTAGACTGGGTTGTGGGAATATTTATGGGATAATAATAGTAAACAGTGAGAATTGCCCACTAATTCAATTCTCAGATCCCAAAGATCGTTATCGTGTTAAGTGAAAAGTATTTCATATAAATAAAATCACAATGTTATAAAAATAGATTTATTTTATAATAACAAATTAATAATAATATGTAACATGCGTGACAATAATCAATGAATATCCAGTATCAAATGATATGCAATACAATGGAATGGGTATACACGTTTCAATGGCTAAACAGCATTTTCTGTCAAGACTTACACGATTTATGAGGTATCCTTACAGACATAGAAAGCGAAGCTTTTCACAGCGAAGGGCCATAAAACCCTGGCTAACAGTTAGATCAACTGAATAACCCTTTCAATGCTGGCTAGATCTCCTAGGTAATTAAGATCTATTCTTATGTAATTTTAAATAAAATAACATTTAAACCAGTTCATTAGTCATTTCCTGGAACCATCCAATAAGAATAATCTACCATGATTTTACAAAAGCAGAATTTTAATTTGTCTAAAAGATATCTTATCTTATATTAGAGCAAATCAATACACCTGGATAAAAACAGCGGTATGCTAACACGTGATACTATCACATTAATATATAATTATTCTTAATTCCACCTGCAGAATGGAATGTTTATAACTATATATTCTTTAGTTAACTAAGATTTCTAAATATGGAAATCTGACCGTGATTTATCCAGTCATATATCATGCTATTAGTAAATTTTAATTAATTTAATTAATTAAATGAAACCAGTATAATTAGCAGTTGAGTAGATATTTCATCCGATTGGTAGATAGTCTCAGGAACTTATTTGGATGTCTGTAGGTGCATGAGTTATGGTGAAAGGTGGTATTGGTTAGAAAGTCAGTAAAATTCTAAGTGTTAGAGTTTTAAGAGTAGAGTGTTAGTCTCAGATGTTGTCCTGGGTTTCTCTGCATGTCCGAGTTGGAGTCCCCAAACTTCCAATTCCTCTCTCCTCTCTTCCCTCTGTCTTAACTTTTTAAAGGGAAAATTCACTAGTTGCTAGACCAATAGAAACACTGGGGTGTGCTTACCTTCCTTTTGACAATTTAAGTATTTGGTCTATAGAGGGCAGTCTCGTCCCACTAAACATACCTATCCAGGAAAGAGTTAACTTTTCCTGGTGGCTATTTTGATGTCATTTTGGCTTATCTTTATGGTTGCCATAACTTACGTTTCCTTTCACTTCAAAGGGTTTTCTCTTAGTTTAGTCCAGACTTAGTGTCCGCAATTCCTGCTATAATTTCTGATATGACAGTTATAACTAAGTTTTGACCCGTAACTTACAATGGGATCTTGTACATATAGAAAGTAAAATTTTATTATTTAATCTCCTCTGTCACAAATGTCTGTGTTTAGATATGCATCTATTCCATTAACATTTTAGACAGTCTATCCAACCCCCGTTCTCCTTATCACTTGGTTTGTATATACTATGCATTCCTTTAGCTCTGGGAAAGTGGTTAGTTTTACAGATAGAAATCTTGTGTCTTTTGTTAGCTTGAAAATAACAAAATGGAGTCTGCTCTGTTCAAAAGTGACTCAGCATATACACTTTTAATTTCTATCATAGCACAAGATGTCTGCCGATATAAATACCCTGACAGGGTGTTCGTATGCACAAAGGAATTTAAAGACAAAGAGGGGAGAACACTGGTCCTGGTGGGATTTCTGAACGGAATAGAGGTGACAATAGTAAATTTATATGCCCCTAATGCCAATCAGATTTCATTTTTACGGAAGACATTTGGTAAAGTAGCAAAACTAAAGGTTGAACAGGTATACATATGTGGGGATTTTAATTGTGTCCTTGATTTGGAGATGGATTCTTCAGATGTAAAAGGTCCCTCCTCTAGTCAAACGTCGATGGGGCTAAAACTAAGTAATCTTGTTGAGTTCGGGTTTTATGATACATGGTGTTCTTTATATCCAGAAGTTAGGGATTACACATTCTATTCAGAGGTTCATACTCGATACTCTCGTATTGATATGTGCTTGATTGATGCATTATTTTTGAATAGTATGAAAGAGGTTAAAATTGCCCCTATGACCTGGTCAGACCACGCCCGGTCTGCTCCACATTCTCTACTTTATACCCAACGAGAGGAAGAGGTTCATGTGGATTGAACGAGGAATTGTTGGAGGATGTAAGGAGCAAATCAATAATTCACACAGCCATATAAAAAAATTTGGGGAAAAATCAGTATCCACATACATCCATAACAAGTACGTGGATGTCTCACAAGGCGGTGATACTCGGATTATTGATATAACAAGGGGCGCGTAATAAAAGACAGTATATTCAGGAGTAGAATCACCTCATAAACGAACTGGCTGCCATGGAGGCCATACATAAGCAAAATCATAAGAAGGTTTTGGATTATATGTCAAACATTAAGATTGACTTAGATAAATTACAACTACAGGTTACGGAGAGGCAAAAAGGACATTTAAACATACCCATTGTTAACAAGGAAATAAGGCAGGGAAATATTGGCCTCCCAGGTTAAAAAGCTACATCTACAGTCAAAAATGTCATATTTGGAAAGATTAGAAGGCAATAGGGTGGGTAATCCATTACACATTTTGGAAGAATGTGCATCTTTTTACGAGCAACTGTATAATTTAGAACAAGATAAAAAGGTGGTACAACCCACACAGCAAACAATAGATCAGTTTTTAGAAACTATAAACTTGCCACAGATAACTTTAATACAGGCAGAGGCGCTAGATAGTCCATTTACAGAAGAAGAGGTCCAAAGGGCATTACTTAATACCTCAAGTTACAAAGCACCGGGACCTGATGGATTCTCTTTTATTATGTCAAATTTAGTGAGCTTCTAGTTTGTCATTTAACTGCCCTTTTTAATAACATTTTAGATACAGCCGCATACATCTGGAGATGTTAGAATCAAATATAATCACTATCCCAAAACCTGGCAAACCTCTGATTAGTTGTGTGAATCTCTGCCCGATATTGTCAGGATTACAGAATGATCCAGCACGTATAATTTTGTACCATAGAGTACTGATAGGTAACGTATACCGGACTTTAGAATGGCCGGACTAACGTACCAAAGAATAGTCAGGAATAGCCGAGGTCAAGGGAAACAGAAAGAGACACAATGAATCGGAAAAGTCAGGAGTCAGGGATGCCAGAAAACAGGGAAGTCAAAAACAATGCCAAAGTCAAATAACCAGAATTACCAGAAACAATAACACGCTCTCGGATAACCACAAGGGAAACCACGACAGGGAACTGAGCAGGATGAGAACTGGGCCTAAATACCCCTCCTCTAGGTCTGATAGTCTGTAACCGGCCTTTGACCCCAAAGGCAGTTACCAGGTTCCCATTTGCATAATTGCTGCTCAGCATTAACCCTTCTGTGGATTTGGTTGTTGCTCGGCACAACTTTTCCTGTGTGGACAGTAAATGTCATTA